TTCACAAAATTACAAATGACAGATATTTCCTTTCTATTTATATTTTTAAAAAATCTGGTTAAAATCTACCTACCACAAAATTTACAATTTTAATAATTTCTCACTGTATAGCTTTGTAGCGATAGGTACATTTACAATATTATGTGAGCATTGCCATTATCCCCAGAGATGCTTGGTCCTTCTTCCTACACTTTCCTTTCAGAGAATGCCTTTGCTCTAATTCCTTTGCTCCCTTATGCTACACTAGTAAAAGCATCCTAAAGGAGAGGAAGAAAAATGAAACACTTAGATTTCTCTTCTAAGAGGTGGCTAGAAAAGTGGGAAGGGTGGAGTGACCAGACATTGGCCAGCTCTGTGGTAGATTTTATGGGTCAGCTACCCTGCTGGAGATGCTTCCTGTTCCTTTGCCTTCTGTGGCAGGCGGAACTGGCAGTACTTAACGTTAGCAGCATGCTTACTTGGTAAGGAAACTTACCACGCCTTTGGTTTTTAGGACGACACACCCTGCTCCATGCAAGAATAAAAACTCGCTGTGCCTTACCAAGTCTTACAACCAAATTCCAAACTCTAACTGTGATACACTACAGGCCAGGCATCTTGGAACCATGGAGTCACCTAAAGGTGTGTGCCTCATTGGGCTGTCTGTGTAGTTGAGTATTGTCAAGGGTAGGCACTGAATTAAGCAGCGATGATTCACGGACTTCTGCTAAAGAAGGTACTCTGTGCTTCAGTACAGGCTAAACTTGGGAGCCAAGTCATTCAGGAAAGAATGCATAGGAAGTTTTCAGATGAGGACTTTGAGTCTTTTAGGTTGGAGCTACATTTGATTCAAACCATCTGCTTAACCTGAAGCCAAATCCATCACTTTTTCATATTTTTATGACAGTATTAGTTTCAGTCTCAGAAACACTGTTGAAGATTCATGGAATGCTAGGCGTTGAAATGACAAAAATATTGGCCTAGTCACCTCTGCTTTTGGGATACGTATGGATGAATAGAAGTAAAAGGAATGCTTTCATGCATTTTCCTCCCATGTTGCAGTGTCTGTAAATTACAGATATCTTGGTTGCGAAGATGAGCATTGTGTCAGATTTTTTTTTATTGATGACATGAATAGATGAAATAGCTCATGGGGGATTTACTGGCTATGATTACTGAAGGGCATAATATTGTGCATTATTGCTACTGTGATAGGTAGATTTATATTGCAATTATCTCTAAATACAGAAAACACTCTTCCTGGTGAGGGATTGATTAAAACTGTGGACCTAGAATAAAGATACTGAAATAGCTGTCAGGCCATTTTGTTTTCTGAGAACGAAAACAGGTTTTTAATACAATGGAAAGTAGCTATTACATGACATGTTAGTAAAGTATTGGCAACTTTGGGCTGGCGTTGTAGTATAATGGGGAAAGCTGCTGCTAACAACACTGGCATCCCAGACAGGTGCTGGTTCATGTCTTGGCTACTCCATTTGTGATTCAGTTCCCTGCTTAAGGTTTGGGAGAAGCAACCAAAGGTGCCCCAAGTGTTTGGGTTCTGCCACTCCTGTGGGTGCCCTAAATAAAATTTTTGGCTCCCTAGCTTAGGCCTGGCCCAGCTCTAGTGACCATGTAGGGAGTAAACCAGTGGATGGAAAAATCTGTCTGCCTTTCCCTCCCCCTGCTTCTACCTCTGTTATTTTGATTTTCAAAATAGATACTCCCCCACCCTTTTAAAAATAAAGACATTGGTAACTATAAACACGAACATATATATATTTCCAGTTTTATCTGAGTCAGTCATAAAATGATACTAGCTGTTTCATTCTTAAATTTGGAGGTTACTATGATAAGCATTTTAGGGATCATAAAGACAAACAGAAGGGCTTATCCAACAAGAGCTTAACATCTAGTGGTGCTGTTGTAATTAACCAGCTATGTGTGTTGATCACAGACTCTTGAAACAGTGAACAAAGCTTTTGAGTGGGTGTTTTTTTTCGTTAGGAGAACTTTCATTAAATTGTCCAATAGTTCATATTCCCAAAAGATTTCGAACGTTGAGGCTGGTATTGTGGCACTGTAGCTTAAGTCATTGACCATAACACTGGTATTCCTTTTTTTTTTTAAAGATTTATTTTATTATTTTTATTGGAAAGCCGGATATACAGAGAGGAGAGACAGAGAGGAAGATCTTCCGACCGATGATTCACTCCCCAAGTGAGCGCAATGGCCGATGCTATGCCCGTCCGAAGCCAGGAGCCTCTTCCGGGTCTCCCATGCGGGTGCAGGGTCCCAACGCTTTGGGCTGTCCTCGACTGCTTTCCCGGGCCACAGGCAGGGAGCTGGAAGGGAAGCGTGACTGCCAGGGATAGAACCGGCGCCCATATGGGATCCTGGGGCGTGCAAAGCGAGGACCTTAACCACTTGCGTCACAGCGCAGGGCCCAACACTGGTATTCCATGTCACATTGCTGGTTTGAGTCCCAGCTGCTCTGCTTTCCATCCATCTCTCTGTTACTGTGGCTGGGAAAGTAGCCGAGGATGTCCCAAGGTCTTGAGTCCCTACCATGCATGTGGTGAGACTCCTATGGAGCTCCAGACCTAGGCTTTTGCCTGGACCAGCCCTAGCCAGTACTGCCATTTGGAGAGTGAACTAGCAGCTGAAGAATCTCATTCTATGTCACTAATGCCTTTTACATAGACAAACAAAAAATGAAATCGCTAAAAATAAAAAAAGATTAAGAAACTCTGCAGTAGAGAGATGTAACTAGAGAAATATTCACAACACATGGGAATCGGAGTGGAGCCTTGAGCGTCTAAAGTAACCACAGGTGGAAACACCAGACACTACTTTCAATGTGAAACTTTATCAATTTTGCAGGGGAAAATTTATTAAAAAAAAAAAAAGATTTATGTGGTCCTGCCGTGGTAGCCTAGCACCCAAGGTCCTCGTATTGCATGTGCTGGGATCCTATATGGGCGTTGGTTCTGAACCCGGCGGCCCTACTTCCCATCCAGTTCCCTGCTTGTGGCCAGGGAAAGCAGCCGAGGATGGCCCAAAGATTTGGGACCCTGCACCCGTATGGGAGACCAAGAGGAGGTTTGGGGCACCTGGCTTCAGATTGGTTCAGCTCTGGCTGTTGCGGTCACTTGGGGAGTGAATCAGCTGACAGAAGATCTCTCCGTCTCTCCTCCTCTCTGTATATCTGACTTTCCAAAAAAAAAAAAAAAATCTTAAAAAAAAAAAGTTTACTTTTATTTGAAAGGCAGAGTTACAGAGAGAGAGAGAGTTACAGAGTTATACACGCAACCAGATTGAGAGAGAGAATGCTTTTATCTGCTGATTTGTTCCCCAAATGGCTGCAACAGTCAGCTAAGCTGATCTGAAGAAGAGCTAGAAGCTTCTTTCCAGGTTCCCGCATGAATGCAGGAGCTAAAGGACTTGAGCCAGCTTTCCCTGGCTACAAACAGGGATCTGGCTGGGAAGTGGAGCAGCTAGGACAGGGCCTGGCACCTATTTAGGCAACCAGTGCCTCTATGGCAGAATTGGAGGCGAGGGCATAGTCAGCCTATATGCCATGGTGTTGGCCTCACGAGAAAATATTTTTGCTATCAGTGATAAGAACTTTCTATGCTGTTGTTAGTTATGCTTTTCTTTTTTCATTTTCTGTGTGTTTGCATATTTTCCAATGTACTAATTTTTTTTTGTATCTTGATGGTTTTCAACTTTTTCATATTTTATTGGTAAACTTCCTCAGTTTGAGAGTTGCATTGCATATTTTTTTTTGGTGAATTTTTTTAGGTGGTCACTTTTATATCTGCAATTAAACTTTTACCTCTGTTTTGTTTGTGATTTTTTTTATATTTCAATAATATCCTATCCAGAAATCAGATATTGATGTAAATGTTCTCAAAGTCTGGGCTTCAGGTATCTTCTTTGGGACAGGTGATAATTACTGTGTGTTATACGGAGAGGATCGGAGCAAGGGGAACCTGCTATGTTTTTGCGGAATTAGCAAAGTGAAATGATTGCATGTGGTGCCTGAAGACATTATTCTTGGACTTGCACCTGGCGCCGTTACTATTTGACTTCTGAGGCTGTGGTACAAAGTCAGTACCAGCCACCACTTCGTTCTAAGTACTAAGGTGCACTCTTCCAACTAGGCCTTCCAACTGTCCCCGCCACTTTTGTGAGCGAAAGCTGCCTCCTACAGGCCACAGAGAAGTTTGCTATCGGTGTAGAAAACCCAGCCTGCCCGCCAGGCAGCCGCAGGAGAGCCCAGCGCGCGGTTCTTCCCCGCAGTCACCGCCGCGGGCAGTCGGACCACAGGAAAATCCACGTCGTGTCGACTCTTGGGCCGTCCGATCTTTTCTGGTTCCCGGAGACCCCGCAGCGGGGGTTTCTACGAGTACGCACTTGCAGCTCACTCTGGGCGCCTAAGCATGCAGGGTAGGAAGGGCTGAACCATCAGGTAACAGGCCCGCAGGGGCTAACCGTCCAGTAGCAAAATCCATCTATATAGGTATTTTTTGGTAGTAGATGCACCAAGGGACGGTGACCTTCCAGCCGGTTTTGTCACCTGCAGGATGTAACGAACACCACCTTTCTCACAGGGTGGTCGAAGGACTGAACAGCGAGTCAGGTGCAAAGAGGATCGCCCTGAGTGTTCCCTCTCCATTCCTCGCCCGGAATTAAGGCGATGAGGACCAGCCCTGCGGGTGTGGGCGCCGCACATTCCTCAATTGCTGGAACCTGTTAGCGTCTGCAAGGCGCTACCTGGAGTCCATCTTCAGCGGCTCGAAAGTTTTTGCCGCCAGTTCTGCAGTTTTAACCGCCAGAAGTTACAAACAGGAGGCGCAGCTGATGATGTGGGAGAAACGCACACTCAATACTTGCATTCAAACACTTAGCGGGCTAAGAGGATACAGCAGCCGACCTCAGACGTTCCCAATTGAGCCTGCGCAGAGGCGCGTGCGGAGGTGGGTGGGTCTTCTTTGTCCGTCACTTCCGCTTCCGCTTTCAAATGTAAAACTCCCGCCACCGGGAGCAAGTGGCGCTAGCCGGTGTGTTTTGGATTTGCGGTTGCCGCAGGTAAGAGAAGCTCCTGGGGTTTAGCACGGGGCACCAGCCTTCGGCACAGGACGATTAAGCTGGCGGGGTGGGGGTTTGAATATTGATTGGCTTCGGCTAGTCTGAAAGACAGTTGTGTTACCCAGGGTTAGGACAGAACTCGCCGCGCTTTGCTCAGGGGTTCAGGATTGCACACCCCATGACTCGTGATGTTAACTCTTGGGATTGGAAAGATAGTAGTAACGTGGTGAGATGGCAGCCTCACCTGGCTTTTCTGTGGCGGAGTACCAGCCGCAGCTGCCCCGGCCCCTCGCGCCCGGCTACGAAGTTATCCCAGGTGGTGGTGTGGAAAATCACATGGGCATCAGTAACTACTGCCAACATTTTGTACATGTCTTCAGCTTCAGCACTTTTTCTGTGTATGTGGGATTATTTGTTTGTTTGCTTTCCTTGTGATTCCATTTTCTGTCATTTTAATCTTCTTTTATGTGCGTCCTTCCAAAGCGACCGAGATGCAGTTTTCAGGAATCCACAGGAAGAGGCTGAGGCTGGGTGATCAGAAGAATGCTAGCTACCCTCATAGCCTTCAATTCTACCTGCAACCGCCTACTGAAAACATCTCTTTGATAGAGTTTGAAAACCTGGCTATTGATAGAGTTAAGTGTAAGTGATACTTAAAATATGTATGTACTTGAGAACCTCACCTATGTTTTGTGGGAGTGATTGGAAACAATTTATTCCACTCAGCAGCGATTTCAGTAAATGTGAAGGATTTGCTATTGAGGGCTTGCTGTTCATTAATTTCATTTATTATATGATGCATATTTATTGAATGCTCTTGTGTTCTGGGTGGCAGGAGTATGGGGGTGAATGTAAATTGTCATTGGAGATGTTACAGTAGAAGACACACCAAGTAACAGTAATAATTCCGTATTTTGCCTACTGTAATTAGAATAAATAGTAGTGCTATTGAGGCATAGAAGTGCGAGTGATGGACTTAGTCTGGTTTATGTTTCTTAAAGAAGCTGAGATGGGACTTGGGTATTGAAATATGAATTAAAACTTTCCCAACAGAAAGTTAAGGATTTTTTTTTCCAAGTTGGGACCATGTTTTGTACTAAAATTTAGAGACATGAAAAGAATGTCATGTTTGAGAGAGCATTAAGAAGTTCAGGGTGGATGGAGAAGTATGGATAATTAATCACTCTCTTCTTCTTTTTTTTTTTTTTTTTATGATACTAGTGTATTAGAGTCTAAGATGAATGTGGCCACTCTATAGGGACCAGTTTATTCTTTGTGTGTTGATAGAGAAAAGTTATAGATAAGGCTTGAATTGGAACAAAAACGCTGTCCATGTCTTCAGAGTTTATGTTTCAAGATATTCTTGTGCAAAATTGTAAGGGAAGGTGAGATAGCATTAGCCATGTACAGAGAGACAGAGGAAGAACTGTTAATACAGAGAGGGGCTTTCAGCTGTTGCTCATTGAATTAAGGAGAAAAGACAAGAGAGGGAAGGTTTTAAACAGTTCACTGGTGTCAAATGAATCACGAAGGTAACGGTGGGGATAGATGAGGCATTGATAGCAGGTGGAGTGGTGAGCGCCTGAGCTACAGTAATGGAACGCTAGTGATAGGGAGGGAGAGATCGAGGGGATAGCGAGAAAGTCTTGGATGTGCAGGTACTGGGTGGCTGAAGTTCCTGCCTGGACGATGTAGTGGCTGGAAAGTCTGCTGATTGAGATTGGAAAGGGAGAAAAAGGAGCAGGATGAGGCAGAAGGTAGTTTGGTTTGTATAGTATAGTAAGGATAAATCTGTCAGGGATTTACGCTCAGAGGGTAATTAGGAGGTTTTTTTTTTTTTTAAATTTAAAAATACATTAAAAAGTAAGTGTGAGGAAGAATGACTTAAACATTATTATATAAGCAGTACTTTAGCTATGCTCCTGGCGCACCTCTCCATTTCTCGACAACTGTGGCTTATTTCAGCTGTGACTACTCATCGTCTTTCCCTCTTCCCTGATTGAGAATCCCTGGTGTTAGATTATGTGGTACTCCATGCATATTTTCTGGGACTTTGTAGCAGGATATCCTTTTGAAACCATACTTGTATATATGGTCATGCACTGTGTAATGTTTTGACCAACAGTGGGCTGTATGTGCAATGGTGGTCTTGTAAGATTGTCACCATGTGATGTCAGATCTCTTGGTTCACATTAAATGCACTGAAGCTGGGAAGTGTCATCTTGGCGTAGTCGATAATTCTGCTACCTGTGACGCTGGCATCCTTTATAGACCTCAGTTTGAGTCCTGGCTGATGCACTTCTGACTCCCTGCTAATGCAGTGAAAAATGGCCCAAGTACTTGGACTCGTGCACCCACATGGGAGACTCGGGTGAAGGTTCTGGCTTTGGCCTAGCCCAGCCCTTGCCATTGTAACTATTTGGGGTGTGAACCAACAGATGGAAGATATCTCTCTCCCTACCTCTCTCTCTCTGTAGCACTGACTTTCAAGTAAATCTTTATAAAAGTACATTGTGAAGTTTGTATAAGGACAAAATTCTCTAATTTGAAATGAAGTATTTCTAAGAGTGTGTCTTACTGTGATGCATGATTGTAGTTTATTGTACTTAAGGAGAATAAGGTTTCTGTTACTTGTCATGTTCTAAAAACAAGTATTTGCAGAATTACTGTGCATGAATTTTGTCCTCGATTAAATTTTTAAAAATTATCTTTGATTTTGACTTTTTTTCCTGATATTCTCTTAAAGTACTCAAGACAGTGGAAAATCTTGGGGTGAGCTATGTGAAAGGAACTGAGCAATACCAGAGTAAGCTGGAAGCCGAGATTCGGAAGCTCAAGTTTTCCTACAGAGTAAGTAAGAGAGGAAAAATTTCTTTCAGTTTGTATTTGTTCTTATTACTGAATGTCAGTTGTGGGAAATGGCTTGCTAGGCACATAGACTGCTGGAAGGTCCCTAGTCTATTAGGGGTGATTAATGTGTAATCTGATATCATATGGGGGACCACTCACCTGTGGGACTCTCATCATTACTGTCTTAATTGTCCCTTAGTTCAGGGCCTGTCTTGTGAGCTGTTTGATGCTTAGTAGCATCCCTAGGTTCTGCTAAAGGTCAGCAGACATGGCTAGGAGTGTCCTGTGCAATCCAGGGTGATGGATGCCATCATCAGATGTTGCCTCTGCAACTTCCAGATCACGGCATAGAAGGACTCAGCTCAGACTGGAGATGCGACACTTGGGAAGATGTTGAGTTTAGTTCTAGACATGAATTTGAGGCGCCTGTAGAAATAGCTGCTGGATAAAGGTGTGGATTTAGAAGATATATTTAGTGAGAACAGAGATACAGGGCAAGTTGAAATCATCAAGATTGAGAGCACCTTAGGGAAATGTTTGATAAATGATGGGGACAGAATGTGAGGAATACCAGTATTTTAAAGTGAATTGGATTTAAAGGAGATTGGGAAGAGGGTTGAGAAGTTCTCTGAGAAGGATGGAGCAGAGTAGCTCTACCATAGAAGCCCAAGAAAACCAGGGTTTCAGTAGTCATACTCATGGTGTTAATTATAATACAGAAATCACAACAGCAGGCATTTATGTACCAGGCTTTGTTTTGTCTTACATTTATTAATGTATGCAGTCCAAATAACACTCTTGTAAGGTAGGTACTATGATTGTACCTATTTTACAGATAAGGAAGCTGTTGTTTACTAATTAAAATTACCAGTTTCCTGAGATGGTGCATGGTAGATTCAAGTTGGAATCAGGTGTTTTTGTTTCTGTGGTGGCATTTTTAACAACAGTTTTGATCTTTAGGTTATGTGAGATTACTGGTATGGTGATGTCCATTGGATTTAATGGTTATGTGAACCCTTGTACATACAGGGTTAGAAACCAGAACAGTGACAGGGGTTGGAGAAAAGTGCATATGGAATGTGTAATGTTTTAAGATGTTTAGCTGAAAAGATGGAGAAATAGGACAGAGGACATACATATGTGCACTTGCACCCACAAAAATGTGACAGGAGAAACAATGTGTTTATAGGCTGAACAGAAAGATCTAAAATAGAAGAGTAGGAGAGATTAAAGATCTCTTGAATCCAACAGACGAAGTTCCTTAAGATGTAAGAGCAAATGGGTTGGAGAGGGTAGGTGACGTCATGAGGAAGCAGAGATGCTTTGTCCTTGGAGATGGAAGGGAGGATAACACAGCATGAGAACGCCCAAGCTTGGGACTGAAGGACTCGCTCAGGTAGCTGCGATTTTCTGTACAGGAAATCAGCTTTTCATAGGGAAGGCAAATGAGCTGTGATGGGGACCTTGGGCAGCCAGTAAGGACTGAAATAGCTTTTCTTAGAAAAAGGGAGAGGATCAATTCTGCTGTTTATAAGCTTAGTGACATTGAATATGTAACCCCTCCATGCCTCAGTTTCCTCCTCTTAAATGAAATGTAAGGGTACATACACACATGAAAGATTTGAGAGCGTCAGAGAGGCAAAGATGGAGCTCCTGTCTTCTAGTTCTCTCCCCAAATGCCCGCTCCATCACCCTGCTGCTGTAGGCCAGAGAGCATAGCGGGAAGTTGGAATTGAGATTGAAGCCAGGACTTGACTCCATCCCTTTGGTAGGGATATGGTGTCCCAGCAAGTGACTTAACCTCTAGGCCAAATGCTCATTCCAGTTTCCTCATCTTAAAATAAGGAGAAAATAGTACCTTACCTATATGGGTTTTATTTTGAAGGGTTGACAGGATTATTAAAAGTATTTGGAGTACTGATTGGCACCCAGTAAATGTGCTCAAAACATGTTAATTCTTCAAGTGTTTTAGAACTTGAAACAGATTGCCTGGCATTAGTTCAACTGAGGTTAAAAGTTAAAAGCCATGAAGTTCTGTATTCCAGATTTCCATGATTATATGTTTTTTTCCCAGTATTTTGACTGTACATGATGATTGAGGCTTGCATGGCAGAGGTTTAATCTAGAGTCTAGCTAGGTTTAGCCAAATGAAATTAAGGAAGTTGAGGGGTTGACATAAAATAGGGCCTGTGCAGTAGGGTAGCATGCTAATCCTCTGTCTGTGGCATTGGCATTCCTTATGGGCGCTGGTGCCCCGCTGTTATACTTCCTGATCCAGATCTCTGCTCTTGGCTTGGAAAAGCAGTGAAAGATGGCCCTTGTCCTGAGGCCCTGGCACCCACGTGAGAGACTGAAAGAAGCTCCCGTGGACTGGCCCAGCTCTGGGCATTGCAGCCATTTGGGGAGGGATCTCTCTGTCCCTCCTACTCTCTGTGTAACTGACATTCCAAGCAAAATAAATATAATTTTAAGTGGTTAAAGTGGAAAGTACAGTGGGTATCGGCTGGAGAAAGAAATTGGGAGGGAGAGGGATATAGGAAGAAAACTGGGGTGTGTTTTGGTTGGTCAGTTCAGTTTCACTTGATTTGTTGCCTTAGAATAATGCTGATAAGCTTGGGAAGTGTTATTAAGAAATGTATTTTTTAATGGGAGAAGGGGGACAGTGGGAGCTGGTGCATGTTTCTTCACTGCCAGTATCCTGTGGGAGTGTCAGAGTCTTGCCTGTTCCACTTCTAAGTGCTTGGGTCCATGTGCCAACATGGGAGAGAGAGGAAACTCGTGGCTTCAGTGTGGCCTAGCTCTGGCTGGTGTGGCCATTTGATTTGGGGAGTGAAGCATTGGATGGAATCTCTGACTTTCTGTAACTCTGTCTTTAAAATAAATAAATAGTAAACAAAAACACCACGAAAGAAATGTGGTTTTGAAACTTTTGCTTTACCATTGTGTTATGTCTACTTTGTGTTTTTATACTTCCTACTGTTCTAATGCTTTTTCTGGGGTGGGGGGGTTGTTTTTAAGGAAAACTTAGAAGGTGAATATGAGCAACGGAGAAGAGATCATATTTCTCACTTTATTTTGCGTCTTGCTTACTGCCAGTCGTAAGTATTGTTTTATTTTAATAGTCACACATTATATCTTGGGTTATATTGGTGCAGAGAAATATGTGTCCTGCTGATGGTAGGAAAATTAAGAATAACACCAGGAACCAATGTTTACAGATTGAGCCATGTGACAGTGAATTGGAACATGTGGTTACTAAAAAATACTAAAAGCAACTAAATGCTTCTAATGGTCTGGGCTGGAACTACCAGTCTAGAACTCTGTTTGGGTCTCCATGAAGATAATGGGGCCCAAGCACTTGTTCTGTCATCTGCTGTCCCCAGGATGCAGTAACAGTTCAAACTGGCACTGTGGCATGGCAAAGGGGTATGGGATGTGGATGTCCCAAGTAGCAGCTTAACCCAGTGTGCCACAGGGTCTGCCTTCCCCACAGGACACTTTAAATTTTATGGATTCTTTGCGATTTAAAATTTGATATTTCTTTAGGGTGGGGGACTTTTGAAACATTTTTTGAAAATGTACTAAAAATTACAAGAAACAATTAAACACTTTAATTTCATATCTTGATATAGGTTTTTAGGCTGAGAAGAATGGGCTTATTTAAGGTATTTTTGGAAGTTGTTCTTTTGGTAAGCCAGTATTGCCACCTAGAGGGAAGAGATGTTACTACTTTATTTTTAACTACAACTTGAGGCCCTATATTAAATAGTTTGGGCCCAATAATACAGCTACAGCTATTTTTAAGTTAATGTGATAATCAAATAAAAATCTTGAATAGATGATTATCCTAAGATAATAATTGAGGCATTATTAATCAGCTGTGTTCCCAAAGTTTTTTTTTAAAAAGCAAAAGTAGTTTGTGCAGTTTATCCAATAATTTCATTTAGTCTGTAAAAGTCATCTAAAAAGTTTTACTTTACATTCAGTAGGATAACAATTTTATAAAATGAATGCTCATTTGCATATTTACCTTATAAATTAACATATTTTTATGTTGACCTGTAAATACTGAGGTATACTTGTATATTTTTAAAATGCTTATTGTTTTAAAATTTGAGATATAGAGATGGAGATAAAAAAAATCTTCCTTTTGCTGGCTAAACCTTCAATTACCTACAGTAGCCAGGGCTGGCCAGACTGGAGCCGGGAGCCTACAGTGTCCTGCTGGGGTTGCAGGGACCCAGTTACTTGAGCCAATATCTACATCAGGAGGCTGACGCTGTATGATGAAGCTGAATGCTAAGCAGAGCCAGGACTCAAACCCAGGCTCCAAATCCACATCTGGGATGTGGTTGTCCCAAGTAGCCTCTGTGCCAAATGCTAGTTTATAGGGTGACACATTTTAAATTTTGTGAAATTACTGCGAATAAACTTGTAAAATATTTTTTTCAAAATTCATATAATTGTAATTTATTTGGAGATAAAGTTACATTTAAAAAGTTTGGTATTTGGGCCAGTGCAGTGGCTCAACTGGCTAATCCTTTGTAAGTACTGGCATTCCATGTGGAATGGTTAGTGTCCTGGTTGCTTCACTTGTGATCCAGCTCACTGCTTATGCCGGGTAAAACAGTGCAGATGGCTCAAGTCCTTGGGACCTTGCACCTGTGTGAGAGACCCGTAGGAAGTGCCTGGCAACTGGCTTCAGATTGGCTCAGTTCAGACTATTGCAGGCATTTGGGGAGTGAACCAGGGTGTAGAAGATCTTTCTGTTTCATCTTTTTTTTCTGCAAATTTGTCTTTCCAATAAAAAAAAAAATAAATCGTAAAGTTTGGAGTTCATTTGACATTGATGAAACAACTCCATTTTCTTTAAAATTATGTTTTATTAGAAAGTCAGATATATAGAGAGAAGAGACAGATGAAGATCTTCGTTCTGATGATTCACTAAGTGACCACAACAGCTGGTACTGAACCAATCAGGAGCCAGGAGCTTCTTCTGGGTCTCTCAATGGGTGCAGGTTCCCAAGGCCTTGGACTGCTTTCCCAGGCCACAAGAAGGGGCTCAATAGGAAGTGGGGCTGCCAGGATTAGAACTGGCACCCATATGGGATCCAGGCGCATTCAAGGCGAGGACTTTAGCCGTTTTCCTTTCATATTATTTGATAATGTAATTGACCTGAAAGCAGTCTATTTAGTTTTATATTCATGTACTCCTCTCATACCCAGCCTGTCCCTGGAAGCTTGTGGTGTGTGATGTTTGTGCCCTTTTTCAGAATGGAATGCTTTTATATGCAGCTTGTTGGTATCCTGGTTGTGTGACAATGTTTCATACAAATCTCTCAGGTGTAATAATCATTGCAGTTTTGGTTCATACTTATATAATTTACATGTTTTCTTTTTAGTGAAGATCTTAGACGCTGGTTCATTCAGCAAGAAATGGATCTCCTTCGGTTTCGCTTTAGTATTTTACCCAAGGACAAGATTCAGAGTTTCTTAAAGGATAGCCATCTGCATTTTGAGGCTGTAAGTATGTTTTTGTGGTTCTTTCCAATTGTTTTCTCCCTTTCTTTTGCATTCCTTTCCTAAATACCTGTCCAAAAGAGTATCTTACAGCTTTGTACAACCATAAACCCTTTGTTTTCAAGCCTCACATTTAGTTTGTTAAATATGTGATTTATTAAAACACAAAAGGGTTTCCTTTCTAAAACTGCATCTTTAACCAAGATTGTGTGCATCAGAATTTAAAACTATTAAGATACTAAAGCAGACAGATGAATGAGAGTTAATTGTAGTAAGGTTTAGGAGAGGTAACACTTCACTTTAGAAGTCAGTTGTCAAGTGCTACATAATGGTACTGATGTGGAATCTATGAAAGTTGTTTGCATAGGAGATGAGAGAGGTGGTTACCAGAGGCTGGGGAGAGAAGCAGTTGAAGCAGAGATGGGGAAAACTTAATGTGTACTGACTTTGATAGGAATGTGAAGATAAGGTGTTCTGCGGCACAATAAGGTGGCCACAGATGACAATGATGTCTTATGTATTTGAAGTGGTAAATGTTTAAGGAGATGGATATGCTTACCCTATGTTAGAAAATGTGTGCATGTATGAAAACATCACCTGGTACCCCATAAATATGTAGTTTTTAATGTGGCACTTTAAAAAAAAAACCACAAAAAGACCGCTTTAAAACACTTTGTTGGTAGTGGAACTGACTGAGACAGTTTTTGGTGTTGTAGTGGATGATTTAGGGACCCAGAAAATAAAAAGTGGAACCTGGAGTAAGTGAAGGACTTATTTTTGACAAGCAGAAGACTCAGCCACTGTAGTAAGCAAGAACAGCTAGTCCCATGAGCTGGGAAAAAGACTGCAAAAAGGGAAATGAACAAACATTTAGTGTCTCTTACTTGCTAGCAGGGTACTTTGTGTAACTGCGCTCATTTTCTTATACGATACACCACTGAATTTCATAGTAACATTCACCTGGGTGTAGACTGGGAGCCGTGCAGGACCATCTAACCAAAACCTATTGTGCCTTCCACTTTGTTATAATTTTGTTCTTTCATGAGGTACATTATTTTGTTAAGCAAGATTTGAGCAAGCTAGAGAGAGACAGAGGCAGTGAGTCTTGCACCTACAAGTTTGCTCCCCAAATGGCTTCAAGTGTCAATTTAGAAGCAAATAAGCCTGGAGCCAGGAGCTTCTTTTGGGTCCCAAGGCTTTGGGTCATCCTTTACTGATTGTTCAAGTCATGAGCAGGGAGTTGGATGGGAAGCGGAGTAGGTTGGATATGAACCAGTGCCCATATGGGATCCTTGCACTTGCAGGGGGAGGATTAGCCAATTGAGCCATCATGCTGGGCCCTGTCTTTATATTATGTATAATGCTGCAGTGGGTCTTTGTGTACCAATTTTTGTGTAGCTGTGTTTTAATTTCTCTGACGTATTTCTAGGAGTTAAATTGCTAGGCCATAGGGTAAGTCTAGTTGTAAACATTTGGAGATCAGAGTCTTTTCTTCAAAGTGACTGCACTGTTACACTTGTTACCAGTTGTAAGGTTTGAATCTCTCCATATACTTCCCAAGAACCGTTATCTCTCATTAAATAGAGTCATCAAAGTGAGCGAGACGTGGTATGTTGTGGTTTTGATTTGTGCTCATAATGATGCTACAGATATATTTTCATGTGCTCATTGGTTATTTTTTTTTTTTGTGGATGGAGAAAAGTTTATTCAGATTCTTTTCCCCAGTTAAAAAGAATATTTCAGAGAAAAAACGAACAAGCGTCTTCATCTGCTTTACTCCCTAAATATCTACTATATTCTGGGTGGAACCAGGCCAAAGCCATGAGCTGGGACGATCCAGCTACTCTTGCTAATGCCTGCTGCCTCCCATGGTAGACGTTAGCAGGAAGGTGGAACTGGAAATAGTTGGAATTTGGCACTCCAATGAGGGATGCAGATTTCCTCGCAGGATCATAGCTGCTGTTTCTAACAATGTCCTCTGCTTCTTAAAATTGAGTTACTTACTTTTTGTTTTATTGTATTACGTTCCTTACATTTCTTGATGTAAGTCTGTTATCAGGTACACTTGTGTGATTTATAAATATCTTTTGTCATCCTGAAAGTTTTCATTTTCTTTGATACTGTTTGTATTTAGAGCAAGTGTAACTTAATTATTTTCATGTGGGCTGTTAAGATTATTAGGTCCCATTTTACATTACTGTTGGATTGGGTATTAGGTTTCCCATGGAGAAGCTTTGGAGGAAACATGCAAGCCGTAGTAGGGCCCAGCTTCCTTCTTTAGTATGTAGGTATGCAATTGTTCCGGCATCCTGTATTGAAATAATTCTTTTTGCATTGGATTGTCTTGGCCCTCTGTTCCTGAACTAATTTTACTCCATTTATCTATATGTCTGTCTGTTAGGCCAGTACTATTATATGGTCTTAATTGTTGGTTATTGTATCTTTGTAGTATAGGTTTAAAATTAGGAAGTATGAGTGTTAGAACTTTATCCTTCTGTTTTTCTGGATTTTTTTTAAACTATTCTTGATATTTTCTCAGAAATTTTAATACCAGCTTGTCGAGTTCTACCAAACATTCAGCTGGAATTCAGATTATTGTGACATTAAATCTGTATAATAGTTTGAAATGTGTAACCTTCTGAACAACAATAGTATAGCTTTCAATTTCTGAACACGGATGTTTGTTTATTTAAAATTTTTAATTTTTTTCAACACTCTTCTGTTAGTGACCTTGTTCTGCACTTCGTTTTTGGAATATTTATGGCTGGGATACATATGTCTCCTTGAGTTTTGTGCATTGATCCTGTGTATCAAACTTACTGAACTTGTTAGCCTCATACTCTACTTACTATAAAATATGGTTTTCTTCTATAAATGGAGATAATTTTCTGAATTTCTATCTGGGTGCTTGTATTTCCTTATTTTTGCAAAATTATCATGGTTAAAGTCTTCAGTATATACCTTGCTGATTAGGAGTGTCAAAAATGGACATCCTGATCTTAGGGGAAAGCAAATATCGAATGTTATTAACTGAATTTTAAAATAGTGTGTTCTTATCAGATTGAAGAAATTTTCTTTTAGTTGAACACTTTCAGCATGAAAAGATAGTGGATTTTGTCCACCTGTACTTACTGAGACAATCATGTTTTTTGCTCTTTACTAATATTGTGTTATACTAATTGATTTTTGGGTATGAAACCTGTCTTGCGTTGCTGGGATAATTCTCTCTTGAATATGGTTTGTAATCTTCCTGTGTTGCTGGAATTGTGTTGCTGGTGTTTTCTTGATGTTTGTGTTTGCGTTGATTGGGTAGTTTGTAGTTTTCTTGTAATGTCATGTATTGATGTTGAGAGTTGTAGCAACTCATAGAATGAGCTGGGAAGTATTTCTTCCTCCTCTGTGTTTTGAGGAGGTTGTACAGTGTTCTTTGTTCATCCCTTTAAAAATTTTGAATTTACCAATGAATCCATTTGGGTCTAGGCTTTTCCTTGTGGGTCATTTTACTTCAAAATTTTAAGTTTTTAATGATGTTTACATAGTTGATCAGGGTGGGAAGGGTCAAGGACTAGGAGGGTGTGGGTAAGATCATTGTTTCCAAATCTTCCACCCTCTTCTGTATCTCGGAAGGGAGGAAGTTAGAGAAGTTAAACCCAGCTTCCATGATGCTCAAAATACCTGGTGATGGGGAATGGCCACCTGATGCATCCCAGGGCTCCTGATGTGGGGCCTACTCTGAGTGTTCTGCTTCAGTGGTTTAGATTGTTTTGAAATGCTGTTGATCTCGCTGGTCCAAGGATGAGGAAATCCTTCAAGGTCCATTTGCTTGATAGTCCACTCCAGAGTCTCCATTCACCTAGATATTTACTATCAATGCTTGGCTAGGGTAGCTGAACAATTTGTTCTGCTCTCCTTCCTCTGCTTGGTACCAGATGTCCTCTGTAGGCCCCACTGGACTGCCATATCCGCTATGTACACCTGGGTATGCTTCACATTGCTCTGTTTTAACCACTTAGGAGGCCTAGTTCTGAGATATGTACTCTGTCAGACCACAGATCCTATGATTCTCACCATGTTTGTAGTTGGTGGGATCCCCACAGAAACCTTGTTTGAGGTGATCCTTAGACCTGACACTTGTGTGTTTGCCAGTATGGAGTCTGGCTCAGTCTGTCACCCATCTTCCTACACACACACACACACACACACACACACACACACACACTGGTAGTTGCAGTTGCTGGGTCAGATCTATCTCCAACCCCATCTCTTATGCAAATCAGTGGGTATTGTGACCCAACCCAACCCTGCCCACCGCACAATTGGCCCCTTGCATACCAGCATGAGGAACTGCAGCCTACTCATGGTGACCCCCAATGATCCCCACCAGGCCCACTCCAGCCCTGGTTCCTATGCTTACCTGTATATGCAGCAGACGGCCCCAGTCTGTTTCTCATCTTACTCAGCTCTTGTATACGTCATTGGGCGTTGAAACCTAGCTCAATCCAACCGACCCCACTATTGAGCCCACACTCATGCTGGCAGGTGCTGCCACCTGTCTGGCCAGGCCTTTCCCTGGCCCTGATTCTTGTGTTCACCAGTGGGAGTTGCAGCCCATCAAGGAGGTTTCCACTACTAGGTATCCACCTAGTAGTTTCCGGACTAGGCCCTATTGCCAGTCCCAGATTTTGCACTCTCAGGTGGTTCTGCAGTCTAGCTTGACAGGACTAAACCCTCTGCCTGCCCCACTCACCTACCATCTCAGCGTTTGCCAGTTGATGCTGCAGCGAATCCCAACCAACCTGTTTGTGCATGCACCAGTTGGTTAGCTCAGCCATCCTCTCCCCTTAACCCAGTTCACATGCAGGCCAGCAGGTATTGTGACCCTGCCCAGTCAGTTCTGCTCCCAGTCCTAGCTCATGTTCACCTGAGGGAGGGGAGCTCTTTGCAGCACCCCCACCAGGCTCACTGCCTCTCTCCAGCAGGGTGTCTCGGTCTCATATGCGCTG